TTACTCTTCATTACATCACTGTCCTCCTTTCTTCCTTGAGTTCCTCTTTATGTACTTTGCATCTTTCATGGCACTTTTGAAATGCTATTAATTCCTTCTTTCCCTTCTGCACAGCCGCCAGGTGCTTGAGGGCCCCCCGGTCAGTGCACGGTAGGACTCTGGCTCCACTTCTCTGCATTACTGCACCTCTGTGGGAAGTCACACGTGCGTGGCAGACAAAGCAGCGTTGGCCAGCAATGACCACAACACAGACAAAGGGAAAAAAATGATTGATACCCAACCCAACCAGGATCAGTGGGAGATTTCCATCCCCTGGTGACCTCTGTATTAGATCCTTGAAAATGTGCGCTTTTATGCTTAGAGTTGGCCCTCTTCACAATGGAAGATTTTTATTAAAAAGGGAAGAAAAAAAAAAAAAAAGGTCTTCTGCCTCTCCCAGAAAGCTTTCTCCAGCTTTTCTGTTTCAGCCTGTATATGCTGTGTCTGGAGAGAAAGCTTTATGTGTTCTCTAAAATACAGGTTTAAGTTGTACACTAACTATATTACCGCTGGGGAAGACTGTGGAGATGTATCGAGGGATATTTGATTTGGATGCTCTGCAAAGTGCCCTTTTGGAATCAATAGTGCATCCTCTTCATTAATTTTTAACAGTCTGACTGAATAAAAATAAGAGGTAGTGGAACTGTGGCCAAAACTATTTTCAGCATAATGAAAGCTGTTATCTGGCAGAATTTAAAAATAAACGATAAAAGGCAGAAGTAATGATCTCCTCTGTGCATCCTCCTGCTGAGCGTTCAGCTGAAATCCTACCTTGTTCTTTAACGTCCTCATCTGTGTTGGGAAATACAGAGTCTTGCTTTTTCTGTGGGTGTATAGAAAGGAGTACCAGAAAGCATTCCCATTATCAGGATTGGCAGGTTCCCTTTAAATCATCGGAGAGAGACATTCTGATTTACTGCCCTCAGGGGAAGATTTACAGACAGACCCTTATGCTTGTATTGGCTCCTGCCTCCTTTTCTACAAGGGATCTTGTGGACTGTTTAAAAGGAAGACCCTGCTAGCCTCAGCTTTTCTGGTTAGGCGGGGTTGGCTTGGAACAAGAGTGGCAATGTGGTGGTAGGGTGTGTAACTCCCTTAGGAGGGGGGCAATGATTTGCAGGCAGGGCCACGGAGATGCAGAGTACCAGCAGATGCAGAGTACCAGCGTATGGGATTGTGCTTGATGGTGTTACCTAGGCACAATATTTGTTTGTTTGTTTGTTTTTTTGGATGCACTGACTGCATAGGTCTCTAAATGATGTGGGATGTGCAAGGGAAGCCAACAAATAAACAGAATAAAATACTGCTCACAAAGATGCTATTCTCAAGTTTTTTTCTCCCCCCCTTAACTAAAGTTACTGAAAATATTTTATTGAAAATATTGTACTTGTCAAAGGAGCTTTCAGTGCCAGAAAAGGTTTGCTCAGACCTACTTTTTCTGCGTGTGTCAATACCCAACTCACAGGAGCTAAAGGAAAGAAAGAAAAAAACCCCCAAAATTAGCATCTGCCTGGTCAAACTTTGTAGACAAGGAAAGCTCCAGAGGTACCAGTGAAATTTGGTTTCAAGGAGACGACCTGTGGCTTGAGCATAGCAGTAATTGAAGGCAGCTGCCAGCTGTTAAGGGTGATGTGTTTCCCCTGGGTGAGGATCTCCCTTCTGCCTGTTGATAGCCTGGCAGGCTCGGAGAGGATGGGTCATAACAGAGGGGGTAATGCAGCTTCATCACAGCAAAGCTTCTCTGTGGGAGTGAAAAAAAGTGTTCTTTATCTTCAGGTGGATGTGAGAATAGTGGCTGCATCAGGCCAGTGATTTCCTTGAGTTGCTAGGTGCTTTGCAAATCAAAGGGGAGGAATGTAATTTATGTAATACAAAGCCAGATATGTTAAAGATGGAGAGAATATTCTGAAGTTTTTCCTAATACTTGTAGTTCTTATTTCCCAGCTGCAGTTGGAAGGCAAGTGCCACACAAGAGGAGCAACAAGACTGAGACAGCAAAGGGCCTTCTGAAAGAGTAATCGTCAGAGCTGAGCAAATCAATGATTTTTCTTAAATCAAAATGAACATTATTTCAACCAAAATCCAAATGATAAATTTTATTGTTTTATAAATGATAAATTTTAGATTGACAAAATGAAATTGACAAATGATAATTTTTAGATTGAACAAAATGTTTCAATTTGTGTTAAATGTTTCAAGTGAAATGAGTCTAAAGTTAGATGCTTCAGTGTATTTATTGAATGTTCTAAACAATGGAAGTTCAGGAAATCTTGAAAAATATTTTCAGACAAAAATGTATTTAGACTTTGAAACTCTCTCTAGGCTTGTTGGCTTAAACAGTTCACCCTGCTTAACCTGAAATGACAAATTGTTTCAGCTAATTTGAGTATACAGTTTTTTGACAAAAATAGTATAAACAGAGCAGTTTTCTCTTCAACTATATGGACTCTGGCTGTTTCTGCCTCCCATCTTTTTGTTTACAGCTGGTGTTCAGAGCCTAGATGGTTAGTCCTCATGAAAAAGAAAGCATAAATTTGTAGTAATCTCTACTGTAATAGCAACGTTCTCATTTATTATTAGCTCTTTGAGAAGAAAGCATGTTAGCCTAGCAGCTTCTCCTTAGCAAACCTCCCAGATATACGTTAAAAGATGTTGCACTCTACGTTGCAGTGTACCTTTCTAGCAAGTTGGAGTCAAAGCATGTTTTTTAGAGGGAGTGTGTTAACCACAGAGTGGCATACGACTCTAAGGCGAGAGTTTTATTTACTTTGTGTGTAAGAAGGTAGCAAGCCAGCCAGAGCAACTGGTGGAAGGAGCCTTGTCTGAGGGACAGAGAAGAGGAGGAATAAATAAGATTGTTTGCACCAAAACTTGACCATCTCTTCTCCCGCCTCCCCACGTCGTATCAGTTGGTCAAATAAACCATCTTACTTCTCCGCACAAACTTGCTAACATCCTTAAAGACTCATAGCTACAACACTGCTAGTTAGATCAGAAATGTGTAATTGATGTTGGGCTGGTTTGTGAGGTCAGATAAGCAGAGGGAAACCAGGCCTTTGTGATTCAGAAAGGAGGACAACGAGATTAGTCGGAGTTGTACGTTAGAGAGCTGCCAAGAATGGGGAGAAATATGATTCCTTTTTCTGGAAACATGTTTTTTGGGAACTGTTGTTTCCAAGTGGTCTCTGGAAACCAGTCCCTTTTCACTGTCTCAAGTTAATTATTCATAAACTCGTAAGCACATGAAAAGCCATTTCTGAGAATCCTGGCTAGAGATTGCTTGTGCTCTATCATTCAGAGTCAGAAACTTCAGGGAGAGGTAGACACTGGGTGGTCTGCAGAGGAAAGTAACGCTTATTTTGAGTAGGAGCTTGTGCTGTTGGAGAGTTGATGGTCCTGTGATACAGCCCAGCCTCTCTTAGTCTGAACTAAATTGGTGATACTGGAACAATTAATGATTCTTCAGTTGCATGGAGACAGGAGGTGGTTGTTAGCTCACACTTCCAAACTTGTATTTAATACATAAAGGAAATATTAATAAACAAGTATGACGTAACATTACTTTAGTGATATAGCTGGTAGTGACCAAAGGTAAAGTCTGAACATAATACAAGTATGCCGCTTCTTGTGTGGTAAAATCCTGAACTCACTGAAACCAGTGGCAGCTTTTGCTATTTATGTCAGTGTAATTCATGCCAGGATTTCAGTCCTGCATATAAACAGAGCAATGCATCTTGTTGCTAAGCTTGCTTATGTACACATCACAGACAGTGACTTGAATTCATTAGGCACTTGGTTGAAACACTTATCTTGGATGCTTAGTCTCTCTCTGAAGTCAGTGGAGGGGCAGGGGCACTTTCCAGAAGAAATTGGGACTTTTGGCGCAGTGGCTCTCTGGACTGGCCTTTCTGTGGACTGCAGAGGACGCCTGAGTCAAGCAGGATCCTGACTTCAGTTTTGTGGTAACTTGAGTTTAAGGGGATGGCAGTAGGCCTTCAACTTGACCCAGCGCTATTCTGATGGAGATTTGGGATGGTCTTAGTGACAGGTCATTGTGTAGGGCAACAGCCCAGAGACAAATTCAGGAGAGTGCTGGTTGGTCAGACAGGCATCCTATCTCCTCCACTGTCATCTTTTTTCTTGCTTTTTGGCCCTCTTTGAGTCATTGCTTATGCTTTGGTCACAGAGGAAGCAGAGGATTTTTAACACCTTCATTTTTCCAGAGAAGGGCCTCTTTCTGCTGTATCCTGACCTTTCCTCTGGTACCTCCTAGCTTTTCCATTGACAGTGGTGTATGACAAGATATTATAAAGCCTCATGAACCTTCTTAGCTCTCAGGAGTCTCCCCAACTCTTTTCCCTGTACAGCAATCTTCCTCAGATGCTGAACTAGGGAATTACATCCTTCAGTTCAATGGGATCAAGTCTCAAGGAACTGTTGGGAGGGTGACAGCAGGGTTGCTATACTGAGTCATATCAACAGAGGTACAGCCTTTGGATTCTTGCAGTTGACTGAGAGGACATCGTTTCTTAGAAGATGCCTCACACTTAACATGCGCATATAACCTTCTCCCTCAAAAATTTCACTGCAAATTCCAAATATA